CTCATCATCCTCTTTCCAAACCATAAAACTCATCATTTATAATAAGAAACATCATTTTTTTTAACGTAGAAATGATCCTTGATTTCTCCTGCTTTGTTGTCCTTGCTCAGTGCCTCTGGAGAAATTATTTTGGTCACTGGTGTGTCCCTGAAGGCTGAGAGCCTCACAAAGGACAGCACCAAAAATGTGGCTGCAATCAGCCGAAAAGTATTTTCAGACTGAGGTTTCCCTCAGAAAAGTCATTCCTGTTCTGACAGCAGTTTTCCAGTTGTTTTGATCAACAGCAAGTCCAGTTGGAAGTGAACACTTGATCCTCTCTGCTTGAGGAGGAATTATTGGGGTTTTTTTGGTCGTTTTTAATCAGTTTGAACAGCCGTGAAGCTGAGGCTCGAAAAAGTCTGTCATCAGCTTGAAGCTCTGGTGACAGCACCACAAAGCTGATTTAAACCAGCTGGAACACATTTTTCTGAATTTGGTCACACGTGGTTTTGAAAATCCCACTCTGTGGGCTTCTCCAAGTGGTTGTGGAATTCTTTTTGCCTTGCCTCTGCCCTTGTCAATATTTTATTTTTAACAGTGCTCTGGACACTGAGGCTGTTCTGCAGGGATTGTGCCTTGTTTTTTATGGATCCTCCATCACAGCTGTTCTGGGCAGGTGCTTTCCTGGCTCACAGAAATTTGGATTTTCCCTCCCTTGTTGTTCCTGGTAGGCAGTGAGTTGGTTTGTAAAGAGATTTTTCCTTTGGAGGTTTCAGTCAGTTGTGTTCACTTGTAATTCTTCCTGGATTTCCCTGGGAAGTGAGGAGAGACAGGTCTGCAGGAGGGATTTCCTGAGGAAAAGTTGTGCTGGTGTCACTTCACCCTAACCAGGGAAAGGCTGCAGGGAGGAAAATCAGCATTTTTAGATCCCATTCTGCTCCAACTGAGAAATTCCAAGGACAAAACCAACAGGTGATTTCACCCCCAGCAGCTCTGGCACTGCAGAGCTCCCTCCTGCCTTTTCCATGCTCATCCTTGGTGCCCTTCCCAGCTCCCTGTTCCCAAAATCTCTCTGTTGGGATGAGCCTTCCACAGCTTCAGTTTGGTGCCAGACTCTGAATTTATTTCCTTTATTTGGAGCTGGTTCTTTTCCTGGGAAGAGAGAGGGAATAATTGCTTTGGTGCCACTCATGATTTTGTAGATGTTTATCATAATTGCATTATTTCAGCTTCCTCATTATGCTTCATGGAGGCTCTTGATGTTATTTTTGGTGCCTTTGTGAGCGTGTTCCCATTCCCACTGTCTCAGAGCCCACATCCATGCGGATTTTGCTTTGGAATTTTTTCCACTGGAATTCACAAGAACTTTATATTTGTATAATAAGCTCTCATTCTCTTGGTTACACCAATAAAAATCACTTTTGGTTTGATTTCCTGCTGTCCCATTCCCCTTTGCAGGGCACTGATTCCCTTCAATCAGCAATCCAGCCAGAAATGCAGATAGAACACGGAGCCATCCAAATCCAGTGAGAGGACTGAGGAATGCTGGGGAGCTGGCAGTGAACTCCAGCCAGAAATGGAGTGGGAAGGGCTGGAAAAACCTCCCAGACCTCAGAACCTCCAGCCATGCCCTGCTCCCCCTCACCTGGGATAATTCCAGCTTCGGTCAGAGCTGCACCACGACACCAACCCAAGTCCTGGCCTTCACAAAAACCCCGTGGGCTGCACTTAAATCCACTCAGAGAGGACAGAACAAATCTTTCATGGGGAGAGGAAGAGCTCTCCTGCACCCAAACTGTGAGACTCCATCCCTGGCCGCCCCCTGTGCAAATGGAATGTCTGCAGATGTTTGGGTATTGCTGCCCTGCAGTACCTGCTTTGCCACCTAGGGAAAGCTCCAGAGCTCAGATATTTTTCACTGTTGGAACAGTCTTTTTTTTTTTTTTTTTTTTTAATTTGCTATGGTGTTTATAACAAAAAAAAAAAAAAAAGGAAAATATTTAAAAAAAGGAAAAATCCCTTGACGGCAAGTCTTGGCCTTTTGCTGGTGTTTTCTGTTCAGTGTCATGAAAACTGTATTTGCAGAAGACTAACACTTTTGTTTGTACTGTTGCTTAACTACTTTTCTAGGGGAAAATGCTTTAAAAATGCTGTAATTACGCATTTCTAATGAAAAATAAATGTGTATTTATGAATAGTGCAGCTCTAAGTTGCTCTGCCTTGGGAATGAGTCTGGGTTGGCTGGGCAGGAATGTCCTGGAGGAGCTGGGGATGGATCCACATTCAGCCTCTAAGGAAGAACCCAATCTCAGACATTTTATTTGCTAAATTCCCAAGCTCAGACCCTTTTATTTACTAAATTCCCAATCCCAAACCTTTTTGTTATCTAAATTCCCAGTGCAAGAAAAATGGGGTAGCTGAGTTTTTGAGTGTGCAAAATGTAATGAATTTATGGAACAATTTTATGTAATGTGAACAATTCTGAGCTCTCTCCCTTCCAATGCCTCCTTTGTCCAGCAGTTCCCCAGAGGGGGAATCCATCCATGTGAACCCAACATCCAAGATCCAGGTGAAATCACCTTTAATTTAATCCAGATTTTGACAAAGCACCATTGTCCTATTTGCTAATCCTGAGTGCAAAGGAAACCTGTTTGCTGTCACCTGGTTATTTTAATGATGCATGTTTTGGAAAATAAGGTTTGGAAAATAAGAGTTTGATAAATAGGTTTTGGAAAACAGAGTTTGGAAAATAAGAGACGGAGGTTTGCTTTGTATTTGATTTCCAGCTCATTTCCCACAGGGTCATTCCCAATACATGGCTCATAATGCATTTAATGAATTGATAAATGAGGTATGGCCACAACTGCCACGTGTTGGAATCCAGGATAATTTGAATTTTTAATTTTTTTCTTACCAAAGGAAGGGTTAAGCACCCCCAGCTTCTGGGAATGTTGTCCCTGGTAAGTGTTGCACTTTCTATAAATTCCTCCTTCTCTTTAGGATATTTCTTGACACAGAAGCACAATGCAGACAACCACAGCTTGTGGAGTTTGGGGTCTGCAGCAGGCCAGGAATTTGGCTGCTTTTCAGCTCTTTTTTCAGTGCTGTTCCTCAGCCTGGGGGAGCTTTGAGGAGCTTGGCACCCAAAGAGGGGCCTAAAAATAAAAAGTCAGGCCTGGACATTTTAATAATCACGGAACCACAGAATGGTTTGGGTGGGAAGGGACCTTAAGGATCATCCAAATCAATGCCCTGCCCACCTTCCACTATGCCAAGTTATTCCAACCTGGCCTTGGACACTTCCAGGGATGGAGCAGCCACAGCTGCTCTGGGAAATCCATTCCAGGGCTCCCCACCCTCCCAGGAATCAGTTCCTTCCCAATATCCACCCATCCATCCATCCATCCACCCATCCATCCACCCATCATCCATCCATCCACCCATCCATCCATCATCCATCCATCATCCATCCATCCACCCATCCACCCATCCATCATCCATCCATCCACCCATCCACCCATCCATCATCCATCCATCCACCCATCATCCATCCATCCATCATCCATCCACCCATCATCCATCCATCCATCATCCATCCATCCCTCCCATCCATCCACCCATCCCTCCATCCATCATCCATCCCTCCATCATCCATCCCTCCATCATCCATCCATCCATCCATCCCTGTCCCCAGTTGGAATCCATCCATTCCCTGTGTCCTGTCAGGTAGGGTTGGGAATTCGCCTCCATTCCTCTGCTTTGTGAACTCAGAATTTTGTCCTGTTTGCATTTTCCAGCTGAAGTTCAGGAGGAGGTTGAGCTCAGGAGACTTCAGCACTGAGCCAGGAATTCTGGTGAGTATTCCCTGTCCCTGCTCCCTCTCTTGTCCAGGCAGGAAATGTCTCCAGGAATGTTGAATTGATCTTGTCCAGCAGGAGGTGTCTCCAGAAATGCTGGATGTGTTTTCCAAGCTGTGCCACCACAAATAAACCATTCCCCAAATGAGTAATTCCAGGGTGGATTCCCTCCTGGGAATGTCTGTGAGGTTCTGAGCAGGGTGAAGGCACCTTCACCTCGAGGTTGTACCAGAACCATCCAGGTTTTCCTGGGATGATTTTGGTGAAATATTTTGGTGTTCAGGTTTTTTTGAGGGGGAAGAATCTCTGCTTGCCCTTCTTGGCCCTGTTGGTTATTTGTAATGTTCAGTTCATTAAAGCCACGACCATTTATCCTGATTTTTACTAAAATTCTCTCAGTGGACCATTATTAAGACCCTTCAGATCATTTAATCTTGAATCCTGCCTGAAAAGAAGAATCCTTAAGGATTTCCTGATTAAAGCTAAAATATTCAGGTTTGATGGATTGTACAACAAGAAATCAGTCCCGGAAAAGTGAGGGATGTGGGGAATTTCTTTCTGCTTTTTCTTCCCTGTTAGTTTTATGTATTTTCTCTTGCAAAACAAATCTATAAAAACCATCACCCTCCTGTGACCCAAATAAATGAGAATGTCCTTGTGAGCTGCATTTTCAGGCATTTCTTTGCTTGTAAAGCAAAGAATTCCATCCAAAAATGAAAAAGTCGAGAGAGCTTGTCTCTTGTGGTGGAGCTCCTGCTGCCTGGAGATCCCCTGGTGGCCCTGGGTTTTATTACCCAATTCCATGGATGTGGAGTTTCCTGTTAGAAAAACACCGGGAGAAAACCAATCCTACAAAAAACCCCAAACCCTGAAGCACTGTGGGATCTCAAACTCCTGTTGGGAATCCGTTCTCCTGCTGAATTCCCAATGATGCAGAGCTGCAGATTTGGAGCTGGGATGGGGCAGGAGCTGTTTCCCATTATCAGGGATAAGGATGTTCCTTCCCTTGCTGTTATCCCAAAGCTCTGCCGGGAGCTGGGCTGGTTCAGAGGAGCCCTGGGCACTCAGAGCTCATTTCCTGGGATGGAGCTGGGANAGTGTGCTCATGGCTGGCTGCTGAGCAGAGCTCTGTCGGGCCGAGAGAAAATCTTTTAGATAAACAATTAATAAACACCGAGACCGAGAAAAGAACTGAAGCCTCTTCTCGTCCTTTGATACGCGGCTGCCCCAAGGCCACCCCGGGCCCTTCCTGGCCCTCCAAACAGCCGAAAACCGGACACTTGAGCAGCTTGGTGCTGGTGCTGCCTCAGAACGCCCAAGATCCCAATAAAATCCTGACAACACCCTGGAGGTCATTGCTGCAGGTCACCTCCTCTTCCTCCCACGCTCCCCAGGGAAATTCAGGTCCATTCCCTCGTCCACGACCACCCACCCTCAGATCAGCTGAGAAATCATCCTTTGGTCAGCAGAACCTTTGTGAACAATGTTATTTTTTTGCTCTTTGTTCTCTCCTCTTGGTTTGAAAGATTCCTTTTGTTCGTTGTGTTCGAATGTTTAAAAATCCCTCATTTGTGGCTCGTAAAAGTTAAACCTGGATGTGGGGCTGGGTTTGAGAAATGCAAGGGGGACTTGTTATTTTTTTATATACATTTATTTTATTCTGATTTGTGTTTCAAGAAGGGAATTAAAATGAGTTTATCCCAAGCCCATTTTAAGTGCTTTGAGGTGGATCAGTTTTTCTGTGGGTTTGAAACCTGTTAGGGACTTCTTGTCTTCTCCAGCCAAATGCAGATGGGATAAACACCAGTATCAATTAGGAATTCTTAAATCTACACCTTCCTATTGATAGGAATATAAACATTGCTGTACTGAATGCCTTGGCTGTGGGAAGGAATGCCTTGGATTTGGGTGTTCATGCAGGAAAACCTTGCTCAGTGATTTCTGATGGTATCACACTCACAGCAGGATCTGTCACTCTGTCCAATTAACTTGTCATAATTAACATAATTATCAATCCCACAAGACCAAATGCACTGAGCATCCAGCATGGGAATCCGTGTGCTCTGTGATTTGTGGGAAACCCTGCTGGGAGCAGCTGGGACTGAGGGACAGCTTCTCTTGTGGTTCCTTTGGTGGGTTTTGGTGTTGGATCTGCATTTGTTTGGGTGGTTCATGGGGTGTTTCTGGTTGGGTTTGTTTGGATGTTCATGGGGTGTTTCTGGTTGGNTATTTAGAAGCCCCATGCTCTGCTGCATTCTGAATTCCATGAATCAGGAAAAACTAAAGCAATTTTAGCCCTTAATTTCATGCACAGGGAAGATGATTTTTACTGGGCTGATTTAACAGCTCCCAAAATTCCCCAGTTGGAAGTCTCAGCCTTTGCTGCTAATTAGGAACATTTTCAGTCAAAATCCAGATTTTTCCCTGCAGTTCCCACGTGGCAGTGAAGCCAAAGGGAATCCTCAGGTGATGGCACCAGGAATTCTGCTGGTTCCAGTTTGGGTGGAACAGCAAATTCCCAATTTGGTTCCTTTTCTCCCCAAATTCCTGCTCCCAGCCCCTCGGGGGGCTTCACTCAGCCCCATCCCATGGGATTTGCCCTGCCTTGCACAATTCCTGGGATTTTACAGCCCTTGCATGACTCAATCCTCCCTCAACTCTCTTCATCCCCCTGCTCTAATGGGCTCCCTGCTCTCCTCAGCAAAACCAGCAGAGAAATTAAAGAAAAAAAAAAAAAATCCAAATGTTCAGAAAAGAGGAGGAGGGAGGAATCCAGGGAAAAGCCAGGCAGAAAACCCGAGGAGCGGTTTGTTGGTTTGGTTGGATCCCTCCCTCCTTTTCCATGCTCAGGTTGCCTTTCCCTCCTCTCTGCAGCCCAGGGAGGGCGTTCTGGGAAATTCCTCATTTTCTGCCTCCCCAAATTTCCTCGGTCACCCCAGGAGCAGCAGGAAGAGGAGGTAGGCAGCGGAGGGGAGCGGCTTGGGGGGCGATTTTCCATCTTTTTGTCCTTTCCCATTTTGTTTATCCCTTGCTGGGTTTCGAAGGAGTCTGTAAACATCTGGGGGGATTACATCTGGTTTGGGTTCTGCCTGGAATTCCTGGGGGTTTCGTTCAGTTGAGCGTTAGAACGAAACCAGCGGCTCCTCTGGCAGGTTCTGCCTCAGGATTTTCCAAAAACAAACTCTGCATCCCCACTCGTCCCCCTCTGACACTTCCCTGAGTTCTCATGGAAGTTTTCTTGTGTGGCAAAGAGCTCGGTGAACCTGGAGCTCAGTGACAAGAATGATTCCCTTTTATTTTCCGTATTTTAAAAAGCGGAATGTCTTAATTTTCCTGCCAG